TTTTTTTTTTTTTTTAACATCTTCACTTCCAACAAGGCTGCAAGCAACCACTATAAGAGTTGGAAGTTACTGGAAGAGAAAAGACTAAATCTGTAGAGCAAGATAACGATTGACTGATGACTTAAAAGATTGCAAATTATATGAATCAGGAAAGCAAGATGAAGGAAGCGAATTCCAAAAAACTGATGTTCGAAGAAAAAAACTAGAAGAATAAGAGTTTTTGAAGCACTTAGGAACAGTCACAGAAAAAGGATGAGACTTAATTGAATGGCGAGTAACACGAGAATGAATTTTAGTAGATGGCACAAGGGACGCTAGCTCTTTAGAGCAGTGCCCATTATAGTATTTGTAGAAAAGAGAAAGAGAAGCAACATTACGACGATGTGACAAAGGTTGGAGATTGGCTGCCAGAGCAGGTCCAACTATGTTTACAATTCGTTTTTGCACCTTGTCTAAAAGAGAAAGAGCATCATTAGAAGATCCGCCCCAGATGTGGCAACAGTATTCCATACAGGGACGGATTTGAGATTTATAGAGATAGAGAATAGAATCTGGAGTAAGAAAGTGTCGAGCTCGATAAAGAGGTGCAACCTTAGCAGATGCTAATTTTGCAATGGATTTGATATACGGTTTAAAAGAAAGATCAGAAGTAAGAGTTAATCCTAGAAGATGAATGGTAGATGACTCATCTAGTACATTACCATTCATAAATATAGGAAGATCTAAATTATTACGATAACGATTGGCCGAATAAAATTGAGTTTTATCTGAATTAAAGTTCACCAGCCACTGTGAGCCCCATGCTGTAGCAGAAGTGAGATCCTTTTCAAGCTCAGATACCCCCTCCAAGCAATCAGAGAGTGTAGGCTTCTTATCATGACAAGAGTAAATGGTAGTGTCGTCAGCGAATAATGTCACCTTAGATGTGAGAATATCTGGAAGATCGTTAATGTAAATTAAAAAGAGTATAGGGCCAAGGATTGAACCTTGAGGAACCCCTGAAGTTACAGGATGTGAAGAAGAGTGTTGTCCATCGAGGACAACTTTTATACTACGATTAGAAAGAAAGGACTCAATAATCTTAAAGACGTTACCAGCTACACCATAAGAAGAAAGCTTATGGAGAAGACCAGGATGCCAAACTTTATCAAAAGCTTTAGAAATGTCAAGTGCGATAGCCTTAACCTCTCCACCTCTATCTAATGCACGGTAAAACCTGTCGGTTATTACTGTTAGCACATCAGCTGTAGAACGAGAAGACCGAAATCCATATTGATGATCAGAAAGTAAGTTATTTGATTCAAGATGAGAGATTAAGTGTTTGTTGATTAAAGATTCAAAAACCTTGCTTATGACAGGAAGAAGACTAATGGGACGGTAGTTAGATGAATCAGATCGCTCTCCGGAATTTTTGAAAATAGGGATAACAGATGCTGCTTTCCAGCATGATGGAAAACAAGACTTTGATAAGCACTTGTTAAATAGTTTAGAAAGTATGGATGAAAGCTCCGGAGAACACCTCTGCAAAACTACAACAGGAATGTTGTCAGGACCACAAGCTGTTGAAGAGTCTAAGCAGGAAATTACTTTAGATACAGAAGCTGAAGTGATGCGAATGTCAAGTAAGGGATCAACCTGTTTGACGGCTATGTCAGGTAAAACGCAACTAGTGGAATCAAGAGATGATATTGATGAAAAGTTCTTAGCAAACAATTCAGCTTTGTCTTTAGGTGAGGTGACAAAGTCTGAACCATACAAGAGAGAAGGAATAACAGATTTGCCCTTATTATTGATACTGTTAAAGATTCTCCAGAAGTCTCGAGAGCCAAATTTTTGTGATGAGATACGAGATTTAATGACCTGGGAATAGCGAGCTTTGGCGTCAGACAAAACCTTTTTACAATGGTTTCTGGCGATAGTGAACAGATGTCTGTTTTCTGGAGAATTGTTTTGCTGATAGATATGGAAGTAACGGTTTCGATTAGAAATTGCTGCAGCGCAATGTGAGGAAAACCAAGGAGAAGAGTGAGGCTTGACCTGGAATCGTCGAGAGGGAATAAAAGATTCCATGCCAGCCTGAATCCACGAAGCTATGTAAGAAGCACATTTGTCAGCAGGAAGACGAAAGATTTCTACCCAAGGGCCATCACGAAGAAAATCACGGAAAGAGTCCCAGTCAGCTTTAAGGTAGTTGTATGTGGTACGATGATAGGGGGATTCTGATGAAGTAGAAGAATTTGATAATAGTTTTAGAGAGATCAAACCGTGATCAGAAGTACCTAAGGGTGAATGTGGAGAAATTGAGCACTGACTAGGATCCAAAACAAGACATAAGTCGAGTAGAGAAGGTAAATGATTAGGGTTGTCTGGAAAACGAGTTGGAAAGTTGACTATTTGAGTTAGAGATTGAGAAAGGCAAAAGTTAAGGGCCTTAACGCCAGCAGAGTCACTGACACTAGAGCCAAGCCAATCGGTGTGATGGGCATTAAAGTCACCAACAACGACGATATTGGCCGATGGATAAAGAGAGAGGGCTTGGTCAATTTGATCAGAAATAACATCAAGAATAGTGCAATCTTGGGATGAAGGAGAGCGATATAGAACAAAGAGAAAGGCGATAGAATGAAGTTGTGCTAAATGAAAGCACATAAATGAATAGTCTGTAGATTCAAACCTAGTTTCACGACAAATGGGTGAGTTCTTACGAATGTAGATGCCCAGGCCAAGCATGTGATTATTGGAGTCTTTACGAATTAAAGGAAGATAACCATCAACACTAAGATCACAAGATGGGACAGCCGAACTCAAATTAGTCTCACAAAGAGCAAGTAGGTCTGGTGAACTTTGCAAGAGATAAGACTCAACAGAAGAAAAGTTACTTCGAAGACCACGAATATTAGTAAATGATAGGTTTAGAGAACTTGGTCAAAGTGGTTAGAAAGTTCACCTGATTTGTGGACTTATGATTCTGATTATAAAAATATGCAAAGGTTTATAAAAAGATTAGTCAGTGTCAATGACTGTTGCAAAAGAGCTATTAAATTGGTAAAAGACTTTATCGATTTAACAATTAAAGAGCAGAAGTTACAAGATATTTTACTGGTTTTAAAGGAACACAGAGTTAATTTTATAAATGTAACTGGTCCAAAGAAATACTTAATAAATTGTAAGAAAAGTTTAACTTTTTATAAGAAAAATTCAACTGAATTTTTTATGTATATTATTTACAAAACGTATTTGTAAAACCTTTAGTCAAAGTCTCATACATTTTTAACAACTTTTATTTTTTATCTTTATTAAGTACAAAATTTGGATTCCTTATTAAACAAACTTTTAGAATGCAAGTTTTATTGAATTTTTTAATCAACATTTAAGAGTAATTAGATAAATATAGAATTAAAAACATAGTAAAAACCAGGTCTTTAAAAGAAACCGGGTTATATTTCAAAATGTGTTATCTCGATAAGTTTTTAATATTTTGAGCTCAAATTTAGTACCAACTTTCCTATAGTAGACCCAGCTCACTCAAAAAAAATTATAAGTTTTGTTGGTCCTTGATCAACATTAATGAATAATTGGTCAAAAATGGCTTTTTTAAAAATATTTAAACCCTCAGGGAGGTCAGGAAAATTTAAATTTTTTAAATTTTTTTTTTGGAATTGTCTTGTATATCAACGTAAATTGGGAAAATAAAGTGGCAAAGTTATAGTTTTTCTGACCCCTAAAAACGGACCTGCCTAGTGTATATATATAAGTACTTCATTTTTTTTTAATTTTTTTTTTTCGTTTTTAAATAAAACTTGCGTATAAAGTAAAATAAAACTTGTGTATAACATTCATCACACAAATAATAATTAGTTCTTGTTCGTAAAAAAACTCATGCTCAAGCAGATTCTTTCTTTTTATATATTAAACTGTTTTAATGTATTTTTACTTTGTAAATATATTTACAGAGGGTGTTTTAATAAAATGATAATAAATAAATAAATTTTCAGATGGTACTAATTGTTAAGCCTCAAAAACCAAAACATCAAACCATTGATGTTTTGGTTGACCAATGAAATCATTGATGGCATAATGCATGTTTTAAAATTAAAACTTGCGTATAAAATAACTAACAATAGTTCATTGCTTACATTCAACATGCAAAGAATTCATTTAGTTCCTATTATAATATAATTCAAGAGTTAAAAATTAATAATAATAATTTACTCGAGGCTCTTCGTGCCATAACGTGAGTTTTGCAGACTGGAGGGCCTATACTATGAAAGTACTTACAAACCTTAAATGATAAATCTAAAGAAAACTCGAATAATATTTAAATGCAAATTCCGATCATAGTTGCGGAAACATTAAAGAACCTTCTCTAACTCTAAAGAACCTAACTTTAAAAAACCTAACTCTTGGTAGAAAGTACAAGAACTGGGAAGATTTAAGTGTTAAATTCGAATTAATTAAATTCGAAGCAGAAAATCTGAGGTACACTCTTAAAAAAGTTCCGGTAGATTATACGAACTTTCAGGCGTTTCGCCTGAACTAGTTTGTTTCAAAAAGTGCCAGACGAACATTCAGGTAATTCACCTGAACCTGAACTGTTCGTTAAAAAAACCTGAACAACCGCGTTAGATAACCTGAACTATAGTTCAGGAAAAAGTTCCGGTAAATTATACGAACTTTAGGCGTTTCGCCTAAACTAGTTTGTTTCAAAAAGTGCCAGACGAACATTCAGGCAATTCACCTGAACCTGAACTGTTCTTAAAAAAAACCTTAACTGGCGCGGTACAAAATCTGAACCCAAACTGGTTTTTACAAAAAAAAATTAAACATGTTAAAAAGTAGCCTATAATGAGAAAGTTCTGGTAGATTAAATATTTATATAGAATTCTTTGTTTGAAAAAAAATTATTTCCAATATATGATCAAAATGTAAAAGAATATATTTTGGTTTAATCAAAATAAATTTTTTTCTCCCTAAGTTCATTGCAGTAACGCAAATATCAATTAAAAAAAAAAAGCTCATGTTTATTCAATTAAACAATTTTATAATTTATATTATAAGTTTCAACAGAATTACAAACATGATTGTTTATAAAGTACGTGATATTTTCTTGATATAATATATTTTCGTACCCTTTAAAATAAAAACATTTAAAAGTTTATCCACTCCTTAATTTTTCAATAACAAACAACGAAAGATCACTGCCTCCTCTTGACAACGGCAAATCGTCATGAATACCCATAACTACACATTGCAAAAAATGTAAAACATGTTTGCACTCTTTCGCATATTTAATATCGATTACAAAATATAGTTTCAGAAAACGGTCGACTGCACTTAACATGCCATTTCTAATAGGAATAACATTGTCTTCTATAAAAATAAATGACTGAATCAAATTGCCTCGAGCCCCTAGTGCAATAACAAATGGATGCATGAAAGAGGTATGTCTATTTGCATCAATTATCGTCTCCATAGCTGTAGTTTCCTTTATAAAAATAAAAATAATTAAGATACAATATACAAGCTGGTGTCCTTGACCTATTTTATATTATTGACCTAGTTTATAGCACATATCATTTAGCTAGAAATATTAAACTTACAGGAAAGATTTGAATAAAGTGAGCTGCAACTTCAGCTGTAGACGGTCGATCCTTATTTCTAGAAGGCACTTGAAGAATGTATGGAAGCAAGTGAAAAAGTACATTATAATATTAAATTCACCTTTTCTGCTGCAATGATAGACTGAAGCTTTATAGCTTGACCCATTTTTATTCCAATACAATGAAACAAAACAGAGTTCATTTGCAAAAATGCATCTCCGTCAATATCTTCACCTTTAAACAGTAAGTTTATGAAAGATAACATTTTTTAAAGTTATTTCAACTAGTTAAATTTGTTTTATGCATAAATGTATAATTTATATATCTATGGTTTATGCATTAATGTTTAAAACTAAATTTTTATGTAGTAAATACTTACTTGACAATTTAGCAGTTGTTTCCACAGAAATTCCTTTTGAAATCAAATGATTAATCAACTCATGAGTGTTTAAATTTTTTATCATTACCGAGCACATTCTTTTAAAAAGCAAAAAGTTAAGATTAAAAGTTCCGGTTTTTACAGGTTCGTGCAGTTTGTCTAAAGTTCAGGAATAATTTATATTAACTGTAACTGTTGATCTAAACTAATCCTGAACTGTTCAGGCAAAAGACATCGTCAGAACGCATCGATCGAACATTCAGTTGTTTCGCCTGAAGTTTCAGGCGTAAAAAATCGCCTGAACAGTTCGTGTAAATTTTACCGGAACTTTTTTAAGAGTGTATAGTTATAAATCAATTACATTCAACTCATTTAAAAAATAGTTTACAAGCTTAAATATTAAATATTATCTTGTTTAAGGTTGCCAAATCGCCTGAACAATCTGCTAAAGCATTGACATTAGCTTCAATAAAAAAAGCCACTAGAGATCCTTACAAAAAAACTGTTCTCATGAAAAGTGCTACAAATTCTGAAAAAGATAAAATCACGGAGAAAAATTTTCCGATAAAAATTAAAACCGAACATGCCTTGAGCTTGAAAATTCAGTTTGAATTTACTTATGAACAGTATTAAATTATTAGAAATTCATCAATAATTTTCACTTCATGAAATTAAGAATGAGAGACATGAATATTATCCTGAGAGTATAATTGTGAAAGAAACATCTGCTTCAACTCCTCCACAGAGTATGTTTAACCATACTCTGACAAAGATATTAACTTTTACAAAATGCCAAAACTCTATGAGAATGTTTGCTGAAATTGGGGAAAGGTTTAAAGGTCTATTTCACTTTAAAAGGTGGTTTTGATGGTGCCTCCATTCAAAGTGTCTATAAACAAAAATATACTGAGACAAATATTGGTGAGGCCCAAGTTAACAAGAAAAATCTTTTCCGTACAGCTATTGTTCCACTTAAATTAACCATCATGAACAAAAATGCATGGTTAAATAAAAAAAGCCCTCAAGTACAAATTACTGTAGACTCTTACATCTCCAATATTAAAAAAAACCCGGAAGAACTGATAAGAAATGAGTGTGAAATTTTTAAAGTAGAAATGAATAGACTAGTCAAGTTTGAAGTAAAGTTAGAAGTTTTTTCCCCAACTAATCATAAACTCTTGAAACATGGTGTGCAGATATCTGACACATTAGAACTGTCAATTGGTTATTACTCTGAACAGTCACAAGAGGCTCTATTTAAGGAAATAAAGTTTTTTTTTTAAAAAAAAAAAAACTTTATTTCCTTAAATAGAGCCTTTTATTTCCTTAAATAAAACCTAATATTAATAAAAAAAGCTTTATTTGATGAAATAAAGCTTTTTTATTAATATTAGGTTTTCTTATTTGTTTCTTGGAAGAAAATAAGATAAGATAAATATTTATTTTATCTTATTCTTTAATATTTAAATATTTATTAAATATTTATTTTATATGATATTCAAATATTTTTTGAATCCAATTTTTTTTTTTAATTAGTGAATGTTTTGGTTTGAAGAATTTAATTTTTTTAAATTAAGTCAGTCTTTGTGCGCGTAAATGACTCTAACACGTATACGCGTGTGTAGTACGAGCCTTAGGCACAAGAAAAAATTACATTAAAAAGTATGTGGTACTTTTGTATATGGTATTTTGGGTCAAAGTATCCGATTTTTCTATTTAAATTATGTTTTGCGCGCGTAATTTACATTTACACGCGTGAGCGCGTTGTACGCGTCATATATACTTGTTAAAAATATTTTCAATAGCAAATTTAAATTTTTTGACCCAAAATACGAAGTATTGATGTATCACATGTTTATATGTGATAGTTATATTATTTTTGCCGTTTTTTCACCTTTCTGACACACTGTGTGTCGTGATTTGATCCTACCGTATAATGTGAGCATGCGCATTAAGTTAGCTTTTTAAAAAATAGATAAAAAATGGCGGAGCAGTTTTCCGTAAAAACTAAAAGCTTTGGGATCGTCCATAAATTACGCAACGTAAAACTTATTTAAAAAATATAAGTAGGAAATCATATAGCTCTTTGGCGCGGCGAATTTTGCGGGACTTTGAAGGTTGTTTATGAACTTAATTTATTTATTGACACTGCGAGGGAAAAATTTTAATCCTTTGTCTTTTATCTATAAGTTTAATTTCCCAACAAATCAGCAGGTGCAGATGATATCAATGTAAACATTTTTATTTAATCATATGAAATCATAAAAGATGTGCTTTTTAAAATTTTTTCTTGTTCTATTAGGCAAGGAATTTTTCCTAACCAACTAAAAACAGCAAAGGTGATTCCAAGGCGATTTAACTAATGTTAGCAACTATCGTTCCATTTCTATTCTATCTGTATTTTCAAAGATCTTGGAGAGAATTTTATACAACGGAATTTATAATCATTTATCTGTAAACAACTTAGTATATAGCAATCAATATGGATTCAAAAAAAATAACTCGACCGAACACGCAGTTCCCCAGTTTACGAGAAGTGTTACTAACTCTTTTGAAAACTTCTAATATAAAGTTGGGGTTTTTATTGACTTAGCTAAAGCTTTCGATACAACACACCTCAATATTCTTTTAAATAAATTAAAGATTTACGGTATAAACGGAAACGTTTTAAATTGGTTAAAAAGCTATTTAAATAATCGAAAGCATTTTGTATACGTGGATGTAGCTTCACCAGTAAACTTACTCGATATAAACTGTAGAGTTCCTCATAGATCAATATTAGGGCCTCTCTTCCTTATTTACATTAACGATCTCCATAAAGCTTTAAATTTAATGACGATTATGTTTGCAGATGACACGAACATATTTTTTATCTCATATTGTTATTACATTGTTATTTCAAAATAACAATAATGAACTAGTAAGAGTTTCTGATTGGTTTAAGACAAATAAACTGTCTCTTAATATTCACAAAACGAAATGGATTTTTTTCCATCCAAATTACAAAAAGTTCTTATACTAAACGACATGCCACCGCTTTTTAATGATAACATACTTCTAAAAAAAGTAACAGTTACCAACTTTTTTCGTATTTATATCGATGAAAATTTGTCATTGAAAAGTCACATTTTGAGCAGTAAAATCAAGTCGCAAATTTGAGTAGTAAAATATCAAAAAGCATAGAAATTTTATATAAAGCAAGGAGTTTTTAAAATAAATATACATTACGTAAACTATATTATTCGCTCGTTCATTGTCACATAAACTATGTGAACGTTGCGTGGGGGTAGTACTAATAAAAGTAAACTGGAACTTCTTTATTGTCAATAAAAACATTTTGCACGCCTTACTAATTTTAAGGATCGATTTACTCATACCAAGCCTCTAATAATTGAAATGAAAGTTTTAAATATATATGAGCTTAATATTTTTAACATTATATGCTATATGTTTAAATGTAAAAACAATGTTTCTCCTGTACCTTTTCATAATTTGTATAACAAAAAAAAAAATCTAAATACTTTTTACGAAATGATAACGACATTCGTTAATCAGCTAAGCAAACTAATTCTGAAAAATACTGTATTTAATTTTGAGGAGCATTACTTTAGAATAAAATAGTTTTAAAGAATGTTGACGTTTTTTAAGAGGTTAGCTATTACTCTTTCAAACGAAAACTTAAAAAAATCATTTTTTTATTAGATGATATATCTATATTCTTTTAATTCTTTTTTTTTTTAACTTTATATTTAAAATTTTAAATAGTTATTTAACACTTTTGTTGAAGGTATCTTAAAACTGTTTAACGTATTTATGTATTTATAAGGAAACATTTTTTCTCTTTTTCTTTAAATTTGTTTATGTTTTCAATTCCTAATTCTTAATTATATATATATATATAAATATATATATATATATATATATATATATATATATATATATATATATATATATATATATATATATATATATGTATATATATATATATATATGCTCTGGCCCTGCCATGTAACGGCTTGCTCTTTTGGAAACAAAACAAAAGCAAGTATAGTTAGATTGCGATGTTGGCTGAAAATTAGTTGTCCACCCTAGCATCAAGATCTTGATGCTATTCTTAAGAGTATGTGATTGAAATTCAAGCTTATATTTTCTTACAGTTTCAAAAAAATCTCATCTCAATTCAATTGAATTGTTAAATGACTGTTTTACAATTATTGTTTCCTAAATTGTATTGTATTTTATCATATTAAGAAATCACTTTAATATTGTTGTCTTGAACCTTTGATTATGATACTTAATATCCTAGTAAATTTTCATCGTTTAAAAGACGTTGATCTAAATTTTAAATAAAAACAATAGTATTTTATAAAAAATGTAACTATTTTGTTGGCACCGTTGCCAACATTTAAAGCCCATTTTACAATTTTTCTTAAATTTCTGCTTATCTCTGATAGACACGAGATGAGCCGCTTCCCAAAATTACTTTTGTTTATATTTTTTCAAAAAATACTTTGCGATTTCCAATCAACAAAAAGATCCCAGATAAACATTTAAATGTTAATGAGTTTTTTTTTGGGGGGTAATTAATAAATCAAACCACGCGTCAGAATTTTTTTTTTATTAAAAGATCCGGAGCGACCACATTTTAATTAACTAGAAAAACTATAAATTTTGCCCAACATGTAAATTATTCATAATGTGCCCTCTACTATCACATTAGAAAACTAAAAAAGTTGAATAATATGATTAAAATTAGTTTGATCTCCGTAGAGGCTTTCTCCCCCACCTTCGCCCCCCCTCCTTCCCTCCTCCTATCCTATAAATTATTTGCGGAGGGGGGGGGGGGTTATTGCGACGCGAGGCCCACTGCGATAGCCACAGCAGGGAGTGCACCAGTGCGGCGCAATGACCAGGGGGTGGGGATGGTTGATCCTCTTTTAGGAGTTAAGAAAACCGAAAAGTTTTTTTAATTCCCTTGTTTTTAATGGGTTGAATGGTTTATAAAAGGTTTTAAAGTATGATGATTAGGTGGACAATTTAATGATCATTCTTAAGTATTTGTTTTTTCTACATTTAAATTATTTCAAGAAATAAATTTTTCTTCTGAATAGAAAGCATCAAAAATTACATAGATAAATCACACTACTCCTATAATAGAGATAATAGAACCTAGCGAGCTAATAGCATTTAAAGCAAATAAGCTATCTGGAAAATCTGCATATCTTCTAGGCATTCCTGCTAATCCTAAGAAAGGTTTAATTTTAAAAAATTAGTTTCTATTTATGAAAATACAAAAAATACAAAAAATACATTCCTAGTAGCAAACAATATTGGCGCAATATTGGGGCGGTATTGTTT